AAAGAAAAAAAGGACACGCACACATACACAGATACACAACACACAAACACGCATGAACACAAACACACATGCATAGACACACATACACACCAACAATCATACACGCACACACACACTTACAAACACACACATACTTTTGGGTAGGTTTGGGGACGACAGGATGGAGCGGGCACCAGGATGGGGCATGCATAAGGATGGGGCGGGCAGGGGAAGGGGGATTTGGGGCTGGTAGTGGTTTAAAGAGCTTCCTGGTAGGTTTGGGGACTGAGGGGGTTATTGTTTTTTATTTTTTTAATGCTTTTAGAGTTTGGGCGCATAGGGGCATGTGTCTGAGGCCCAACGCCCCTAATCCATTTTTTTGGATTCAATGGGAGACCCTCGTTTTCCTGTTAAACGTGATTCAACGAGGGCTTCGAGGGCTATTCAACGGGTACAACAACGTTTAATTCCGTCCGTTGCCCGTTGTTAGGACATACAAACCACGCTGTGTAAGACTCAAGCCACAAACCATACTTCGAAGGAAAAATAGTGTGAGGTAAGTAAGTTCCTTCATACTTTTTTTTATTTTTTAATTATTATTATTTTTCTTCCTATCTTTTTTTTTTTTTTTTTTTCTCATTATGATTATTAGTATCCTTGTCATATATTATGACTAGGGTCGAAAACGGGTGCGTAAACGAGATAAGTGACAAACGGGAGCAACAAGCAGTACACAATCGGGAAGAAACATAATCGTAAACAAGAAAGTGTATAGGTGCAGAGAACGATAGAGGGTACTAGGAAAAAAAAAGGAAAGGGAAAGTGGAAGGAAAAGCAAGATCGAAAGATAAGGGAGGTAGGAAAAATCACGGGAGGTAAAAAACCATTTACCTCAGATACAACACATTTATTTCGACTGTATCTAGTCAAAGTAATAGTCTGGGTGCCTGCAACAACAGTAGAGGCTAGTAAAGGAGGATAGCTAGTACGACTAGGAGCAGAGACATGATCGTAAAAGCTAACGAGGGGGTAACGAGAGACCAAATGTGAGATCGGTTACATACTGAGGACGAGGTTACAAATGTACATGAGCGGGAAGAGAGAGAGGAAGAAAGGAGTACGACGAGATGAGCAAAAGAAAGAAGAAGGAAGATGGGGAGACACAAAGGAGAAAACAAAAACGATCACGATCGTTTTCCTCGAACAGAACACCGCCTTCCCCCGACATTACTGTATCTGACCGGGATGATAGCTTGTATACATTCAATATCATTATTATTATTAATGTAACTAATGTTATTATTATTATTGTTATTACTATATTGGTATCATTAGTAATATTTTTATAATTATCATGTGTTGAATTTTTCATTATGATTGCGACAATATAAGTTCGTGAAAGCGAAGAGGAAAGATGAGGGTGATGACACGTGAAGGCATGAAAAGTGCAAAGGGAGGAAGAGAAAAAAGGGGGAAGAAGAAAAACATTGCGGGGAAGGAAGAGTGAGTACACACATAGAGGCAGCCAAGCGGTATGGGGAGAAGAAGAGTTTCGGGCGATCTAAGATTCTAAGGAGGAAGATTGCGCAGAAGCAGACGCACAGAGAAGTATAATAAGATGCAGGGGGGTTCAAAGGAAGGTGCGCAATAGAACGTAGAAGGTGCACACAATTCTTCACAAAGTATGGTGATCTCATGATGCTAGGGCGTAGTGTGGGTAAGTCCTGTTCGCAGCCAAGCAAGTGAGTCGATGTGGCGGGTTGTGTTCAATTGTGTAGTCTGTTTGACCCTCACCATTGGCACTGGCCTCGGGGGGGCCAGTGTACCTGCAATCCAACCGGCCAGACTTTGCGGCAACTCAATAACTCATCTCGTATCCCACTGCCGATACATTGTTTCAGAGCTTGACCATAATACGAGTTTCGACATGTTCTTTCACATGACGTTCAATAACACACACACACACACACATACACACACATACACACACATACACACACATACGTCTTGTAGTGTACATTTCCATGTTTTAGCGGAAGATTCATTCGATTTTGCTCATCCTATTGATGAAAGGAGCGTGAGGCCAGCCGTGGGGTTGGAGACTTACCTGTTGGCCGGTGCGTGCTCATCCTATCGATGAAAATCTCTCTCTCTCTCTCTCTCTCTCTCTCTCTCTCTCTCTCTCTCTCTCTCTCTCTCTCTCT